CGGCCCGTGGCTCACTCGGGAGAGTGTGGTGCTGATAACATCAAGGCCCCGGGTTCGGATCCCATATAGGGATGGCCGGTTCGCTCACTGGCTGAGCGTGGTGCTGACAACACCAAGTCAAGGGTTAAGATCCCCTTACCGGTCATCTTTTAAAAAAATAAAAGTAAATAATTAAATAAATAAAATAAAGTGCTTTCTGAGGAGAATTCTAAAGGCATCAAACACCAGCGAAAGTTTTGTTTATGTTTGGCTGCACCGATACACGGTTTGGGCACTCGAACCCAGCAACATTTCTCCGTCCCACCTTCTAAGGAATGTATGGAGGGAGGAAAGCCTAGCATCATCGGTGGCAGGAGAACTCAGGCCCAGCCATGGAGAGCCCAGAAACGTGTGCTTTCTCCCTCATCCACCTCGCCTCCTCCCCACCGGCCTTCACTGCCTGGCTCCGCCCCCTACTTCTCGTTCCACTCTGTCATCCACAACCCCTAAGCCACACCGAAGGATCAGCTGTACTCTTTCCAAAGCACCCTTTCTGGCCACCGGATGGATCTTTCCCAAGATGTCTGAGTCGCCCAGTTCTCACAAAGAAACCCTTTCTCTGTCTAGAAAATGCCTATTCATCCTTTAAAACCCACCACTGGCAAGCCTTCCCTGATGGACCTTCTTAGGTTGGCACTTCTGTACACTGCAAATACTTCCATTTTTTTTTCCCCCCTTTGGTGGCTGGCTGGTAAGGAATACTTCCACTCTTACACTGTCATCACTCTAATTTTTTAATTTCTTCTTCTAGACTACAAATTCCTTGAAAAAAAAAAAAGGACTCTTATTTGTCTGTACTATTAGGGCTCAGCATAGCACTGACATAAACAGAACCAATTTTTACCCCACTAACCTAAATTAAATTCTACCCCTCAGCTCCAAGTGACTAGTAGAGGTTCCCACAGCTCAGAAAAAGGATAGAGAAAAACAAGATACCAGTGGCAGAAGGCAGAGCAGGGGCTCTACAGTTGGGGAGGGGGATCCAGCTCAGGAAGAGTTCATAGGCTGCAGTGGCTTCAGCAGAGTCTCTTCCGATGTCTAGGAAAAGAACTTTTTTTTTTTTTTTTTTTAAAGATGACCGGTAAGGGGATCTTAACCCTTGACTTGGTGTTGTCAGCACCACGCTCACCCAGTGAGCAACCGGCCATCCCTATATGGGATCCGAACCCGTGGCCTTGGTGTTATCGGCACCACACTCTCCCGAGTGAGCCACAGGCCTGCAAGGAAAAGAACTTTCTTAAGCATCTGATACCGCCTCAGGCTAACTGGCTAACAAGCAACTCCTCTCAGGGAGGCCCAGGTGTTCCCAGGGAAATCAATGCTTACACAATATCTTGTTGGCTAGGTGTGAGTGACCACAGCAGCAAAGGCTAAGTTCAAACAAAAATATCTCCTAGGAGTTTCTGGGCTAAGATTGTATCCACTAGATTTCCATGTATTTATGATCACTATTTCTAAATTCCTTCTCAGCTGTCATTTAGTCATTTGCGAAACATTTTCCTGACTGACAACTATGTACAAGGGACCCTGTAGACTATGAGGAACACAGTGATGCTACTCAGTTAACTAACAATTGAACTTTGGGGTGAGGGAGGTAAAAACATGGCACACACAACTGTCACCAGGGAAAGGAGGAAAAGAGTTAGGGGGATCCAGAGAAGGGAAAGATCAACCCAGACAAAATAATTCAGAAAGGCTTTGTGGAAAAGAAAGCTTATGCTGGACCTTGAAAGATGGACAAAACCAATATACAGAGATTAAAGAAGGGCTCGACTTCTGGTCAGGATGGCAGAACAGATGGTCACCAGCGTCACTCTCTCCCACAAATCAACCAATTTACAACTATAAAAAAGCAACAACAGCCAAGCTGGGGCTGCTAGAGCTCAGGGGAAGAGGAGGAAAGACCTACGGAGTGCATGAAGGCAGGAGAAGCCATGATGAGAGAAAGAAAAAACCACTCCGACTGTTTTGAATCCCAGCCACTTGCAGGCTGGAGCTGCTGAGTGCACCGAGCAGGAGCTGACAAAAGCTACACCTGTGCCCTTTGGATGAAGTTGCTTGGAGGTGGCAGGGGAGAAGAGGGCCTCGGTGGCCCCCAGGCCAGCAAGACCACTAATAGGGTTCCTGTGGACCCACACCGGAGCGAGAAGCCACAACAACTGAAAAAAAGGAGCCACTCAGAGGCCGGTGAGTCATCGTGAGGGACCCCCATGGGAAGTGTTTGGAGCACAGGCAGTGGGGTAGACGGGCCCACAGGGGGAACAATGCGGCACAGCAAGGACAGCTGATCTGCCCTCCAATCAGCATAGGACCACTCAGAGGAGACTGGTCAGGAATACAGAATTACATGGGGTGCAGTTTGATGAAAATACTCAGGCCCAGACCAGAGTGTCTATACAACCCAGGTGCACCAGATTTCTCTAGACCCAGAAGTACCTATAAAATCAACCATTAAAACCTGAGCTGCACAGAAAGCCTTCTCTAGGGAATCAGCAGCAAAGCAGCAATTTAGCTCAACCATACAGCTTAAGTACTGGTCCCCACAAGAAATTCCCCCATTTTAGAAGTAAGCAAAGGACAACAAATTAGTTCCAGCGCAGAGTTTAAGTGGTGGGAACAGCAAATAATTCAACACAGAACTGAAAGAAAAAACAAAGTACCCACAACCAGAGACAAAGTCTGATACTAACTAGCAAAGGTCTCATTTCACCAAAGAATACCTATAACACCCAGAAGGACCAAAAGTCCCATGGGCTACCAAGCCAGAAAGGGGGAAGGGCCAAGGACCCTCAGCCATGTCCCCCGACACCCACAACCAGTTCCCAGGGTGGGGGCCTTGGGCCTTGGCCACACCCCCCAACACCCACAACCAGCCCAGTGATGACCACTGAGCTGCCATAGGAAGCACCCCGGGCTCTCCTGAGCTGGGGCAGTGGGGGCCCGAGGGCCTAGGCCATGCCCCCCTGACACACGCATCCAGCCCAGCAACGACCACCAAGCCACAGCAAGAAGGGCCCCGGGTTCCGAGCTGGGGTGGTCAGGGGTGAGGGCTTTTACCATGCCCCCTGACATCTGCACCCAGCCCGACAATGACCAAGCCACCACTGGAAGCCCTCCAGTCTCTCCTGTGGGAATGAAGGGGGTGCTACAGGTCTCAATCCCGCCCCTCCTCCTTCCTCCTTCTTCCATTACATTTCCTTCCCCTTTCCCCTCTCCCCCACCCTCCCAACTGCTCCACGATAACATCATAGAATGTAAAAAGTATAATAATACAATTTAAAAAATAAATAAATAAAAAGAAGGGCCCCATCACCACAGGGCAAAAAATGAGAGCTCTTCTAGGCAAGAGGAATTCCACGACCAAAGGCACAGAAGAGGAAACACACAGAGCACAACAGGGGAACAGCAAGTGGCTGTGAACAGAATCGGGGATATCTGTATCAGAAGCACATATGTAATAGATCAAGAACACAGTAGGGCCTCAATAAATGCTGAAAGAACTGGGCTAAGTCAGTGAGAACTCTGAATGGGAAACTAAAGATATTGGCTTTATTATGTGAAACTAAAAAACAAGAGCTGTGCTGTTTTAGAAGAATTAACCTAATTGTACTTGCATAAAAGAACAGATGGGGGCCGGCCTGTGGCTCACTTGGGAGAGCGTGGTGCTGACAACACAAAATCAAGGGTTAAGATCCCCTTACTGGTCATCTTTAAAAAAAAAAAGAAAAAGAAAAAAAAGAGCAGATGGATCCATTCTTGCTCTCTTTTGATAAAAATAAAATTTAAAAATTAAAAAAGAGCAGATAGAGAGGAGAGCAAAGTCTGGGGAAGAGTCACAAAATTCTGGAATTTTAGATCAATTAGTCCAATTTCCTGGTTTTACAGACGAGAAACAAGAGGCCCAAAGAGGCTAAATGATAGACTCAAAGAAATACAGTGTTTGAACTAAGGCGGTGGTGGTAAGAAGAGAAGATGAGAGACAGCTTCTTGAGAAACTTCCATATCTATTTTCTTCCTCCTATTTCTTTTCTTAAGCACCCGGCTAGACTGTCAGCGACTTACTCTGAAAGCTGCTGTGCTAAAACCACAAAGCCCCTCACCTGCAACAGTCTCCTGGTTGTTCCTTTTCACTTCTGCTCTGGCCCTCAATGCTACCATGTGGCCTTTCCCAAAGCAGCAGATGTCTCAGAGGGCCCCTGATGCTCAGTTACCACATCTGATCTCTCCATAGTGGTCCCTTGCCTCTGCCAACGTCAAGCCTGTCTGCTCTATCCAATACAATGACTGGTAAAGTTCTCTTCAAGAGCTACAACACTTTATGACCTCCAGATAGTTATGAAAAGCAATAGCCCTCCTAAAAACGACATGCAATTGCATCTCTTGGTCCAAAGGGGCTTCCAAATAGGATTCTCCTGAGACCATACAGAATTGCAGCTAGTGTCAGAGAGACCCCCACCGCTGGGGGCAGGCATCCTGCTGGGCCACCAGGGCTCCAGTCTTAAACACACAACCTGAGCCATAATCAGCCTCTGTCCCAGTCGGGTCGTGGACTGACAGAGGACCGAGGGCCGCACCCAGCCGTTGAATCTGCACAGTCGGGGCAGTCCACCGCTCCCCGCGGGGCGGTCCTGGAGTGGAGGAGGGGCGGGGCAGAACTGGGTCCAGAGCGTCACACAGAGGAAGTGTGGTGCCTCGGTGGGAACTGCCGACGGTCGAGGGTAGAAGTCGGGAAGCGGGTTCCTACGAGGATGTGAGTGCTAGCCCAGGGCGAGCAGGGAGGGAAAGGATGGTCTTCGGGAGCGGGGGACAGGCCAGGCTGAGAAAAACCGGCAGCGGCCCCTCCTGGCTTCACCGGGCCATGCGACAGGGCCTGGGGAGGGGATGGGCGCGCAAGGGGTGTCACGCGCTGGCATACGACAGAGATACGCGGCGGATGGGAAGAAGGTGAGAGGTACGCTCACCTTCTTCACGGCTGGCTGGAAGTTAAAGTCACCGGCTTCCTTCAGGTCCAGCCAGATCATGGGCATACGGGGCACGGCCTCCATGGCGGCTGAAGCCCGCCGGACACCCAACCGCTCCCGAAGCTGCTTCAGCGCCTGGCTCGGCCGCACGCACAGCCCCGCCCCTCCGTGCCGGAAGTCGCTCGTCACGAGGGGACAAGAAAAAAAAGCCCCACGGCCTGCTGGGAGATGCAGTCCTCGCCTGCGCAGCCTTTCTCACGGGGGCCCAGTTTCCGTTGCGCATGCTCAGTTTTCTTCGCGCGAGGGCGTGGAGGGGAAATCTACCCCCGCAGGCGAAAGGGTTTCTGGGAAGAGTAATCTTCCTCCACTAAGCGGAGAGGGGCGGTGCAGACGCGTTTTCTGCTGCCGGGCGAAGCTGACCCCTCGGCCTGGCCCGCTGCGCTCCTCCGTCTGGTGGAGGGCGTCAGTCCCAAGTATTGTCGAGGGCCGTGGGGGACTGGGGCAGGTGCTGTGGTAGAGAGAATGTGGCGGCAGATCGCCCGAAAGAGGTGACGTGAAAACAGTCTTGCGGGAGGCTGCGAGGGGGCGCCCGGCCCGAGGCAGTGGGGCTAAGAAGAGAGCGAGGGGTTTCATTTCAAGTGCTGCGAAGCCTTTCGAGCTTTGGGACAGAGGGTGACTGGTCGGGACTGTCACACTCAGGCCAGCCTGGAGGGCCGGGTACTGCCTAAAGAGAGATTGACGCGTCCACTTGCGGTGACAGGGAAGGAGCTCCTAGATGGATTGTAAGGAGCGAGAAAAGGAGGCGCAGAGCAATGCCGGTAGATGGGGGGTGAACGTGTACGGGCAACCCGCACTGTCTACAACAGGAACACGGGGCGAACAACGGTAGTTGCCTCTGGAGAGGGGACCTGGGGAGCAGGAATTTTTTTCTTTTGCCCCCACAAGGGAAATTTTATTGATGGCACTTGTTTATTCCCTCCCAAAAGACCAACTGTAACCAAATGAAGTGAACATAACCTCAAGATTTTATTGTTTTCACAATAAAACAAATGATGAAGCTTAGAACTGGATCATTTGGCCCTTTCTCTTATCTCCTCGCGGTTCAAAATGCTTGCATCTCTCAACAGCCAGCATTCTCTTACATCTGTCGTTAGGCTCAATGCACTCAAACCTCAGCACACTCTTCTTTGTAGTTTTAGCCTTTTTCCGGAAAATCGGCTTAGTCTGCCCACCATAGTCACTCTGCTTCCTGTCATAACGCCGCTTTCCCTGGGCATACAGAGAATCCTTGCCTTTCTTGTACTGGGTTACTGTGTGGGGTTGGTGCTTGCCACACTTCTTACAGAAAGTCCGGCGAGTTTTAGGAACGTTCACCATGTTTGCTGGAGCGCTCTAGGCACGGAAAGCTGGAGGAGGAATTTTTAAATCACATTAGATAGATGATAGATAGATAGATAGATAGATAGATAGATAGATAGATAGATAGATATAACCTAATTTTAGAAATACATTTTAAAATCATTTATTGCCTAGTTTTAGAAATAAATACAGATGCTCCTCGACCTACAATGGAGTTATATCCAGATAAACTTATTGTAAGTCGAAAATATCATAAGTCTAAGATGCATTTAATACCCAGATAAACCCATCGTACGGTAGAACAATCTTAAGTCGGGAACTGTCTGTAATAGAGAATGGTGGTTGCCAGTAGAATGAGGGAGGGGGGAATGGGGAGTTATTGTTTAATGAGTACAGAGTTTCAGTTTTGCATGATGTAAACATTCTGGAGATAGATGGTGGTTACCATAGCACAACAGTGTGAATGGACCTAATGCTGAATTGTACACTTAAAAATGGTTAAAATTGTAAACTTTCAGTTAGGTATATTTTACTACAATTAAAAAAAAGAAAGAAAGAAAATGCAAGACCTTGCAGATAAAAAGAAAAATTTACCAGCATCTTAAAACAGTTAGTTTCTGGAAGACTATCTTGATGTCACCTGGTCAGAAGTGGAATCGATGAGGACAAGGCTCTTGCCCTGCAACATCCCAACCATGAGGAAGGAGGAGAAAGTTGCCCCAACCCAATTTATAGTAAATGAAATGCAGAAGTGTAAACCAGCCTGCCTCGAGGCTCTCTGATGGTGAGGCAGTGATCAGCCATAAGGGAGTTGCAAGACCTAGCTTGGTCCAGAGCAGGCTGGGGAGTGGGAGACTATGGTATAGTGTTACTGAGTAAGGAAGGAGGCAGCAGTTTGGCCACAGAATACAGACAGCCCAGGACCCAGACATGAGGCCAGCAGGAAGTCAGGATGAAGCAGTCGCAAGTCAGTATGGGGTAGAACAGAAAGAGAGGCAGGATACTGGTCAGCTGCCTCCACGCCCCCAAAAAAGGGCAGGGAGGGGAGGAGTAGGAAGCCCTAATTTGGGCCATACAAAATAGGGAAGACCTATAGAGGTGGGCATCCCAGGTGGATGGAACTTCTCCAGGATTCAAAGGAGCCAGGCAGATGGGTTCTTTTCTCATGAGCTTCCTAGAGTGACACCTTTGGCCATACTATCTTTCCTTCCCTTGGCCCTCCTCTCATCTGTAAAATGAGAATACCTTGGCCCCACATTGTGATTCTGGGGTTGAACTACAACAATAGACATAACATATTCTATGAGTTTCAGAGTGTATGAGTTTGCTAGAGTTGCCATAACAAAGTACCATAATTTGAGTGAATCTTAAACAACAGAAATTAATTTTTTCACAATTCTTTTCTTTTTTTTTTTTTTTTTGCAGCTGGCTAGTATGGGGATCCAAACCCTTGACCTTGGTGTTACCAACACTGTGCTGTAACCGACTAAACCAACCTGCCAGCCTGATTTTCTCACAATTTTGGACACGAAGTTTGAGATCAAGGTGTCAGCAGGGTTGTTTTTTTCCCAAGGTCTCTCTCTTTGGCTTGTCAATGGCCATCTTCTCCCTGTGTCCATGGTGACCCTATCTCCAGATACAGTCACGTCCTGAGGTATTGGAGGTTAGGATTTCAACATATGAATATGGGGGTGACACAATTTCACCCATAACATGGTCACAGTGACCTGAAGGATGATTGCTGTGAAAGACCAAGGGGCCCTTCATAGGCCTCGAATGCTGAGGTCATGGGGTGGGGATGGGCCAGTGGAGGTGAGGCAGCAGAAGGGATGTGTCTGTGTCAGGGGGTGCTCTTCTAACACATATTTTCTGGCAGAATTGGAAGCTAGAGGAAGCATAAGACTAAATGAAACTGAGGACGAGTCACCCCATCACAAGGGAGCAGCAAATACCCCATTCAGCCAGGCCAGTTCACCCTTTTCTCAACCTCCCAATCACACAGCAGAGCCAGATAGGCCCTCAAAGACACACAGACACTTCCCCTATTTTACCAACATGGAAACTGAGGACCTAGATGGGAAGGGGACCACCCAAAGTCTCTCAACAAGTGAATGTAAGAGTCCAGGCTGGGCCTGGATCTCCTCTCTTTCAGTTTATTTATTCAACAAATATTTATTCAGCACCCACAGTATCCTAGACCTTGTTCTATGTGCTGTTTAACAAAACAGGTGAAGATCTCTGCCCTCATGCGGTCACATTCTAGTGAGGGGAGATAGATATTAACACAAAAAAGAATAGACAGTATGGTAGATGGCAACATCTGCTATAGTAAGAAGAAAAATTAACCAAGGAGAGAAGAATGAGAGCATGGGAAGGGAGACGTGCAATTTCATATTGGGTGGTCAGGAAAGGCTTCACTGATAAGGTGCTATTTGAGCAGAGATCCGAAAGGAGCGAAGGAACAAGCCAGGGGCATAGCTAGGGGAAGAATGTTTTAGAAAGAGGGATCAGCAAATGTGAGGGCCCTGAGCCAGGACTGTGCCTGAAGACAGCAAGAAGGTGAGAATGGCCGAGGCTGAGTGAGTGTGAAGAATAGCAGGAGATGGGTCAGAGAGGCAATGGGGAGGGGTGAGGCAGGGGGTTGCAGATGGAGTAGGGTCTGGAAGGCCATGGTGAGGACTTGGATTTTTCTTTGGATGAGCTGGGGAACAATGAGAGGGTTTGGAACAAACCCAGGAATATGATCTGACCTAAATTTTTTAAGGATTACACTGGCGGCTATATTGATAGACTGAGGAGGGGACTAGGAGGAAGGGCCCAATACCAAGGATTGTGAATTCCTAAGGCACTGTTCTGGGCTCTGTAGAGGGAAGGGTAGAGACAGGAGAACTGCATCACTCAGATCCAGCTTTCCAGGTCTTCCTAGTCAGGTCTGGTATATGCACAAACACAGAAAACATATGAAGGGACTTTAGAAAGAAACATACCACAAGGGTATGGTAGCAGAACAGTTTGGTGTGTTCAGGCCAGCCAAGGAGGCCAGATCATCTCCAAAGAATGGGCTGGGGATAGTGTGAAGCCAGCGGGGGCAGAGAGCTTAATGGGGTTAGGTAGGAGGGAAAGCTTCCTGGAAGGTGATCTGGAGGCTCAATGCAATTCCCACCAAACTCCCAATGTTTTTGGTGGAAGTTAACACACTGTTTCTCAAATTTTCTCTTCAAAAACAAAATTTTAAAAATTTCTTAATTTTCTCATGCTTCTTTGGAAGAGCAAAGGCCTTAGAAAAGCCTAGACAGTCTTCAGAAGAGAAATAGAATGAGACCAGCTCCACCAGATATCTAGACCAGTTAGAAAGCTGAGTAATTGGGACGTTGTGGGTATTTTCTCAGGAATGCAATATTAGACAATCAGAACTGAATAAAGAACCCAGAAGCAGACCCAAGGCACCCAGGTCCACTTAATAGACTCCAGAGGTAATACTGCAGGCCAATGAGGAAAGGAGGGACTACTGAATAAATAATGCAGGTCAACTGGTCATTCGTATGAAAAAAATTAAATTGGAGTCTGTCACAGGTTGAATTGTTTTCCCCCAAAACATATATTGAAACCCTAACCCCTTCGCCAGTATCTGTGAATGTGACCTTATTTGGAAATAGGGTCTTTGCAAATGTAATCAAATTAAGATGAGGTCATTCTGGATTGGGTCCTAATCCAGTGACTGGTTTTGCTGTAGTTTGAATGTTCCCCCCAAGCTTATATTTGAATTTAGCCCCAAATATGGTACTTGAAAGTGGGGCCTTTAAGAGGTGATTGGATTGTGAAGACTATGCCCTTGAGAATGGACTAATCCATTCATGGATTAATGGGTTAATGGTTTTATAGGTTATCAGGGAGTACACTGGTGGCTTTACAAGGAGAGCAAGTGAGCATGCAAAAACATGCTCTTGCCATTCTCTCCATGTGATACCCTGTGTTATCACAGGACTCTGCAGAGGTTCCATGTGCCACCTGGATCTTGGACTTCCCAGCTTCCAAAACTGTACAAAATAAAGTTCATTTCTTCATAAATTACCCAGTTTCAGGTACTCTGTTATAAGCAACAGAAAATGGACTAATATGAGAGTCCTTATAAGAACAAATTCTGCCGGGCCAGTCCATGGCTCACTCGGGAGAGTGTGGTGCTGAGAACACCAAGGCCACGGGTTCAGATCCCATATAGGGATGGCCGGTTAGCTCACTGGGTGAGCGTGGTGCTGACACCACCAAGTCAAGGGTTAAGATCCCCTTACCGGTCATCTTTTTTTTTTAAAAAAAAGAATAAATTCTGCCTTGAGACTGCAACATCAACTCATTCCTGAGTCATCAGCCTGCCAGATGCCCTACAAACTTTGGACCTCCCAACTCCACAACTGTGTGAGCCAATTCCTTAAAATTTATCATCTATCTATCTTTCTATCTTTCTTTCTTTCTTTCTATCTATTTATCTAACTATCTATTTATTATCTATTATCTATATCTGCTTTTGATTCTGTTTCTCTAGAAAACCCTGACTGATATAGACTCCTTCCTCTCACCATGTTTTCAGTAGTGATTGGAGTCAGGAGAGTGGTCATCCTTGGGGGTGGGGGAGAGCAATGATTGGAAGTGGGGGGCATGAGGAGCTTTTGGGCTTCTGTGAATGTTCTGTTTGTTTTCCTTTCTTTTTTAAAAATTTTTTTTTATTTTTTGGCAGCTGGCCAATACAGGGATCAAACCCTGGACCTTGATGTTATCAGCACCACTCTCTAACCAATTGAGCTAACCAGCCAGCCAGAATGTTCTGTTTCTTGACCTGGTTAATTTTGGGAAAAGAAACCAAGCTGTACGCTTCTGTTTTGAGCATTTTTTTGTATATATGTTATATAATTCAATAAAAAGTTGACACAAAAAGTTAATTCCACATAGATTAAGGATCAAAATGAGAAGAGCATATATGAGTATATCTAACTTTTAGAAGATATGGGAGAATAAACTCAAGTAGGGAAGGATTTCTTAAATAAGATATAAAAAGTACCAGCAATGAAGGAAGACCAATAAATTAAACTCCATTTGAGTTGAGAAATTCTGTTGAGCGAAAGACATCATAAAACACAAGAGCCAGCTTGAAGAAGCTCCTACTTGCCAAAACTGGGACAATTTTAGCTTCAAAATAAAATAAAAATAGTAATGGATTATAACCTGTTGAATAAAAGAATACACAAACTTGCATAGGTATAACAAATAAATAGAGGAAAACTTATTTGTAGTAGAAAGTGAACTAACAAGAAAGGATGAAATTAGAAAATCACTATTTGGCAACAATATGAATAATTCAGGCAAAATCATCAATGGACATAAAACCTAGTGGATTTGAGAAGTAAAGTAACAGGGTAACTACATAGGTTTATAGTATCTCCCCTCAAGATACTTATTAAGTACAAAGAGAAAAATATGGAGACTTCATGTGGAGAAACTTGGCAGACCCAACCTTAACCAAGTGATGAAGTTTATTATCACCAGCAATGGGATAAATCTATATCATGTGCCTCCTGATAGGATGATCTGAGGACACAGAACCAAAAATGCATAACCTTAATCTAATCATGAAGAAACATTAGACAAGCCCACATTGAAGAACATTGTAATCATATACATTGTATATTGACAAAATAAAAATTTAAAAAAAAAAAAAAAAAAAGAACATTGTATGAGATACCTGGTCTATAATCTCCAAAAATGTCAATGTTATGAAACATAAAGAAATACTATTCCATATTAAAGGACACTAAAGGGCCGGCCCGTGGCTCACTCGGGAGAGTGTGGTGCTGATAACACCAAGGCCCCGGGTTTGGATCCCATATAGGGATGGCTGGTTAGTTCACTGGGTGAGCATGGTGCTGACAACACCAAGTCAAGGGTTAAGATCCCCTTACCGGTCATCTTTTTAGAAAAAAATAAATAAATAAATAATGGACACTAAAGAGACATAACAACCAAATATAGAACACGATATGGAATTTTCTTTTGCTGTAAAGGATATTACTAGGGCTGGCCTGTGGCTCACTTGGGAGAGTGTGGTGCTGATAACACCAAGGCCATGGGTTCAGATCCCTATATAGGGATGGCTGGTTGGCTCACTTGGGAGACCGTGGTGCTGACAAAAGCAAGCCAAGAGTTAAGATTCCCTTACTGGTCATCTTTAAAAAAAAAAAAAAAAAGGATTTTACTAGGACAATTGGTGAAATCTGAATAAGGTCTGTAGATTAGGTAATGGTAGTGTATCAGTGTTAATTTCCTGATTTCCATCATTGTTCAGTGATATTGTTTACATATAGGAAAGTGTTCTTGTTTTTTTTTTTTTTTTTCCTTTTTGTCTTTTTTCATGACTGGCAACGGGATCGCAACCCTCGGTGTCGCGCCCGCATTGCGCTCAACCAGTGAGCGGACCGGTCTCTATATGGGATCCGAACCCTCGGCGGGAGCACCACTGCACTCCCAAGCGCCACACTCTACCGAGTGCGCCACTGGGCCGGGCCAAAAGTGTTCTTGTTTTTAGAAAATATACATTGAATTATTTAGGAGTCAAAAGGCATCATTCTGCCACTTACTTTCAAGTGGTTTGGGTCTCAGGGAGAGGGCATTAAGTAATGTGTGTGTGTGAGTGTGTGTATATGTATGGGGGGAGAGGAGGACACATATGTAAAATATTAACATTTGGAGAATTTGGGTGAAGGATATGAAGGATTTCTTTGTAGTATTCATGCATGCAACCTTTCCCTATACGTCTGAAATTACATCAGAGTAAAAGGTTAAAAGAAAAACAGAACACCATAAAGGAAGTGAACAGACAAGACCAAATTGGGAGAACTATTTGTGAGACATAACCCCAAAGTGATTACCATCTAGAATATGTTGACAATTCTCATGAGTTCTCAGGAAAGACAAACAGCCCACTAGAAAACTGGGTACACAACTTGGATGGGAACTTACAGGAACAGCCAAAGCCACATGGAAAGATATCCAACTTCGTCAGTAACCAAGGAAATGCAAACACAAACTACACTGAAATCCTACTTTGTACTCATCAGATTGAACATACATCAGACAATAATAAGTGTTGGTGAGGATGCAGAATGACATGGACTCTCATCCACTGTGGATGGAGCTGTAAACTGGAGCCACCACTTTGGAAAATTGGTGTCATCTAGTCAAGTTGGCACTATTGACCCCTGTGACTCACAAGTTCCACTGCTGAGTCTGCATATCCTAGAAGGACTCCTGCCTACAAACACCAGGAGGTGTGTCCATGAAAAATAGTCATAGTCATCCCGATGAGGAAGCAAGGACCCTCCCCCAATGCCACCTCCCCTGGATGAGAATCCAGAACCCTGCATTACAGGTGGGGAAACTGAGGCATGGGAAGGGAAAGGAGCTGCCCAAAATACCATGTGGGCTCTGAGGGAGGGCCAGAAGAGAGGTCTGGTGTGGCAGGCAAAGACAGAAGGGGGAAGAGGGAAGGGGAGGGAGCTCTTCTGGCCTCAGTTCTGGCAAAGTGGAGGCTAGAGCAGGAGGCATCCCCGTTGTACCCCTTGCCCCCTATCCGGATTCCTGGAGTTTGGGGAGAGTACTCTGAGGAAGTCCCCTCCTGTGGGCCCCAAAAGAGGTGGGGACCTGCCCCATCAGAGCAGCAAAGGAGAGGCTGCTCAGTGGTGCAGTGCTCCTTCTCTCTCTGGAGGGTCCTGGGCCCTCCAGGAAGCCTTGGAACATTGGGAACTTTCTTCCTAGGAAAGGCTCTTACACACCGGGTTTGCAAATATGCAGGAAGGTCAGAAGCCTCAGAGGTCCATCCACAAGGACAGAACCCCTCCCTGGCTCCCGGGGGTCACTGCGTCAGTGGATGTCATCAAGGCCACAGTGTTGTCACAACACAGCCACAACCCTTGGAGCCCTTGACTGCAAAAAAGCCCAACAGAAATTTTGAAGTGATGTTTTTTTGCTCAGGACCAGGTTTAATTCTTGGGCAAGGGGTCCTCTTGTACCAGTGTATGTGAATGGAAAGGGAGCAACAGAGGATTAATCTGTCTCCTGCCTAGAACAAACCTCCAAGTTCAGGCCATTGATAGGGAGGGCTTCCAGGGTAGATGGGGCCTTTTGGATTACCCAAGCACACCCTCCTGGATTGCCTGGTGCCAATCAGTGAACAGCAGCACAGCTAAATATGGTAGAACTTTGAGATATCCCAGCCTTTCCAGTGAGAATCTGCAGTAGGGCAGCACCCTCTTGGGGGTGCCAAACCCACTGAGTTAGGGCTGGGGTCAGCCTGCGGGACTCTCAGATGCAGGGCCTTCTTAGCAGAAGTCTCTGTGTCTGTGAGTAGTGGAGCACCTTGTGTCCACAGTGTTGGTGTTGGAACATCAGGTGTGTCTCAATGGGACCAATGTGGCCACAGCCAATTTCTCCACCCAAGTTGACTCGTCCAGGTCACTTGGGCAAGTGTTCCCAGATTCTGTGCCCACCTCCTGACCACTACATTACAGCAATGGGAAGCTGAGGCCCAAGAAGGGCAGAGACTTGCACAAGGCCCCACTGGGATTCTTTCTTCACAATTCTCCAGCCCTTGTGAAAGCCTTTTGCTCCAACAATCTTTTCAAGGGAGCTGTGGAAGCTGCAAGGATGTTCAGAAGGAGTCATAGGGGCCGGCCCCGTGACTCACTCAGCAGAGTGTGGCGCTGGTAGTGCCGGGGCCGCGGGTTCAGATCCTATTTAGGGATGGCCGGTGCGCTCGCTGGCTGAGCGTGGTGCAGACAACACCTTGCCAAGGGTTGCGATCCCCTTACTGGTTTAAAAAAAAAAAAAAAAAAAAGGAGTCATAGGTCTCAGCTGCCTGTAGTGGTAGCTCTATGCAGAGTAGTTGAGAATAATTGTGGTGTGGAACTGCTCACCTGGACTGGATCTCTTACCTTCTGCAGATGGAGGACTTTTCCCTGAGGAGGTCCACTTCATGCTCCCGGCACCCTCCAGCTGCCATCCCAGCTTCAGGCCCCAGGGTTGAGTCACATGCTGGATGGATCTTGGAGAAACCTCTTGCTGGATGCCTGGAACCCTGCCTTCACCCTCTGCAGCTCAGCTCCCAGCAGCTAGACCCCAGCAGCTGAAGGCAGAGCAGCATTGTGAATGATGCTACCCTGGTGTGGTATCTTAGAACCTCCCCTTTCCAACTCTGTGCCTGGCTTTGGTTCTTAACCTCCCAGTGGCTTAGTTTCCTCATCTGCAAAATCAGTTTAATGGAAGTCGCTTTGTCTGTGCCTGGCAGGGATAGCTGCGTCTCTGAGGGATCACTGCAGTAACGGCCATCACATCTGAGACTTCCTCCACCTCATGTGCTGGACAACCTGCTACTCTCTGTAGCAACTGTGTAGAGTACATTTTGATACATGGTTTGCCATCGGGGTGATCAAAAGGATGGGGTCTGGCAGGATGCCGGTCACTGATGCTGTTACTAGAAGTACTCTACTTTTTATTTCTACTTAGTGAAAGTTACATTTATCAACAACACAGTAACTACCCCCTTTTCATATTTCACCATTACACGTCATGCTTGCGTGGCTTTTAGGATGAGACTTGGCTGTATGCTCTGTCCCCTCTCCCCACTTCCAGCTCTGACTTTCTCAGCTCTACCCTTAGCTTTTTTTAAAAAAAAAAAAGACGACCGGTAAGGGGATCTTAACACTTGGCTTGGTGTTGTCAGCACCATGCTCAGCCACTGAGCGAACCGGCCATCCCTATATAGGATCTGAACTCGTGATCTTGGTGTTATCAGCACCACACTCTCCTGAGTGAGCCACAGGCCGGCCCTTACCCTTAGCTTTTGGAGGAAGTATTCTGAGCTGCTCTGTGCCTCAGTTTCCCCACCGAGGAACACCTTCAGTGGGAACACCCTGTAGGTCCAGTTCTCTCAGGTCTCTGAGTCTTCTTTAGGAGAACAAGAGCCCCTCAGTGAAGGGCTGGCTGGGAAATGAAAGGCTGATTCCCACTAGCCAGGGAGCCAAGGAAAATGGGAACCTTCAGGGGAAAGGTGAGGCCCTTGCTGTTCAGCTGCTGCCTGGGGTTGCCTCTCCCAGCAAACAGTGAGTGTCCAGGGGTAGATGGGCAGTGAGGCTGTCCCTGGAGTGTCTGTCACCATCACAGCCACAAAGGACTGGTGAGCCACATATTGTCAGATCTTATGATTTTTCTTTTCTTTTTCTTTGTTTTTGGCAGCTGGCCTGTTCAAGGATCCGAACCTGTGACCTTGGTGTTATAAGTCTGTGCTCCAACCAACTGAGCTAACTGGCCAGCATGATCTTACAATTTTTTAAAATCCAGGCATCCAGATTTTTTTTTTTTTTTTTTTTTAAAGATGACCGGTAAGGGGATCTTAACCCTTGACTTGGTGTTGTCAGCACCATGCTCAGCCACTGAGCGAACCGGCCATCCCTATATAGGATCTGAACCCGTGACCTTGGTGTTATCAGCACCACACTCTCCCGTGTGAGCCATGGGCCAGCCCGGGGCATCCAGATTTTTAAAAGTTGTTTATTTTATTTTATTTATTTATTTAATTTTTTTTAAAGATGACTGGTAAGGGGATTTCAACCCTTGGCTTGGTGTTGTCAGCACCACGCTCAGCCAGTGAGCAAACCGGCCATCCCTATATAGGATCCGAACCCGTGGCCTTGGTGTTATCAGCGCCACACTCTACCAAGTGAGCCACGGGCCGGCCTAAAAATTTTTTTTGTTTTTTTGTTTTTTGGTTTTTTTTAAAAAGATGACCGAGGGGCTGGCCCGGTGGCGCATTCAGTAGAGTGCGGCGCTTGGGAGCACGGCAGCCCTCCTGCTGAGGGTTCGGATCCCATGTAGAGGCCGGTCCGCTCGCTGGTTGAGCACAGTGCGGGTGTGACACCGAGGGTTTCGATCCCGTTACAGGTCATGAAAGAAGACAAAAAGGAAAAAAAAAAAAAAAAAGATGACCGGTAAGGGGATTTTAACCCTTGACTTGGTGTTGTCAGCACCACGCTCAGCCAGTGAGCCAACTGGCCATCCCTATATGGGATCCAAACCCGGGGCCTTGGTGTTATCAGCACCGCACTCTCCCGAGTGAGCCATGGGCCGGCCTAAAAGTTGTTTTTTTAAATGTATGTAACATTGTGTATGTCAACCTGAGCACACCCTCAGATTGGACCACTCTCTGTGAACTCAGCTGAGAAACTGTCATATGCAGAGTTCGTGGATTCTGGGATCAAACAGAACAGCCAGGTAGAGAGCAGAGTCCTGGACTATCAGAGCTGGAGGTGGCCTCCTTGTAGCACAGGTGGGGACACTGAGGCCCAGAGGGAAGAGACTTGCCCAGCGTCACACAGGTCTCCTGTCTGCAACTCAGGGCTCTCGCCTCATTCCTAGGCCCTGGTCTGTTGCCCAAACCTATTGCCTCTTTGCCAATGGTGTTTTGGAACATTGGCCAACAATTGGTTTCTAGCAAAGGAAAGGAGTGGCCCCTTTTCAGGAAGGCACCAGTCCTATATGCTGCAAGGCAGCCCAAGGAACATTTAAAAGGGGCTGAAAGTGGCAGTGAGTCATAGAAGGGACAATGGCAGGGGCCTGGAGGGCTCTAACATTGGTGGTGGGCTTGGCAGTGGTGGCCTGTGTGACCCAGCACCATCCGAGCTATGAGGAGATTGTCACCCAGGCCTTGAAGTTCTACAACGAGGGGAAAAGGGGAGAGCCCCTCTTCCGCCTGCTAGAAGCCATCCCGCCACCTAGCACGGTGAGTATCTGTGGGGCCCAGACCCAGGAAGCTAGTAGTGGAGAAGCAGGTACTACCTGCCTTATACCTGTGAGTATAACAGGCCAGGAAGAATGCCTGGCTCGGGCACAAAGTGCTTGGTTACCATTAACTATTGCAGTTGTTATTACAATGTTCCTTCCACCTGAAGGTTAGATAAAATTGTAATCTCAGACCTGACAGCTAGCTGGCTGGCAAATTCAGGCTTTATCCAACGTGTTGTCTGGGAATCCAGCCTGCACTCAGGCCCTGGGCTTGAGGAAATATATAGAGCTGTTTCAAAGGACAGATGAGAACTGGACTGGTCTTACCAGGACCTTCGAGGGTTTCCAGTTTCCCCTTCCTTCCCGCTGCATTACCTCTCTCTAGGCATCTAAGCCTGCAGGTCATGGATTCTTGTTTCTATTTCACACAGGAGGAAATTGAGGGGCAAAGACAAGATGTGACCCCTCAAGGTTGTACAGCTATTAAGTCGTGTCCTTTAGCTACTTTCCAAAAGCCAGTGCACCTTAAATCTCTGTTGAGGCTGCTCAACAAGCTTTGGTGGAAAGTGCAGACCAGGCCTAAGCCTCTTCCAACTGTATAACCTTAACCTCTCTGTGCCTTTCTCATCTGTAAAAGAGAGACGATCACGAGTTTTCTGTTGCTTCTTTAGAACTCCACTACCAGGATACCACTTAACTTCAAGATTAAAGAGACGGTGTGCATTTCCACCCAGCAGAGACAGCACCAAGAATGTGCCTTCAGGGAGGGTGGGGTGAGTCTCTCATCCCTCCAGCTCCCAGCTCCTGTGAGCAGATGGTACCCTCCTCTCTTGGCCTCCAGGGGACTCTTGTCTACCTCCACCCACCTCACCTGGCCACCTTACCTGAGGTTTGAATGAGGAAGCCTTTTTAAAAATCAGATTTTTAGGGGCCGGCCCGGTGGCACACTGGATAGTGCACCGCTTGGGAAGCGCGGCGGCACTCCCGTCCGAGGGTTTGGATCCCACATACAGACCGGCTCCCGCTCACTGGCTGAGCGAGGCGCGGGAGCAACACCGAGGGGTGCGAACCCGTTGCTTGTCCCTCCTCCGTACCCGCGCAA